AAGGGAATCGTTAATCAAGTCATATAAGGTGACATTCAAATAAATTAGACCATGCTGTGCCAATTAGCAAATTTCATAAATTGATAAAATAGGCTATTTAAAATTTCGATTTGTTCCCAGTAACTTCGAAATAGGCCAACTTTTTGCATGCAAGAGGAGATTCTAATTTTCAGGACATAATGTCATGATCTATCAGACATATGTTATATATTTGAGCGTCCAATAGAACATGCGTTTATCAAAAAGGGGATTTCGTTCCGTGTCACATCATCATAGTCAGCAATGACACAGCATATAATTAAATGACCAGAATTTAATGAGCTGTTCAGGGACACAGCGAAGAGGCTAAAGCAGGAGGGTGTAGTATCACATTTGCCTGCAACATTTCAACCGCTAAATAATATTTCCCCAAAAAATTGTTCGTGAGGGGGGAGGGGAGTAAAAACATTTTCCGAACATAGGCTACCATTATTCACTAATTTTTCAATTCTTGTAATGTGATTTCGTCGATTTTTCGGTAATATTTTTATAATATTTTATATGTTTATATGTGGCAAGACGATGAGTATAGTAGGCCTATAGTGTTCATTTCTAATAGTTTAACAACAAACTCAGAATGTTGTTAAATCAGGCTTACTGTGATGAGATTCCTAGAGCAACCCAGTGTGGATTGTTGTCTGCACATATTGACTTACCAGCAATATGATTATATACATATATACTATTAGTATGTCAAGTTGTCAACTGATTTTTGTATAAGATATGACTGTGTGTTGTTTATTGTTAGAATAATATGAAATAATCCTACCAGCCTATATTCATATATATTCTGTGTCTGTGTCACTATACATTTCAGAGTGTATTATATTTTTCGATAATGCTCATGTGATCACAATTAGAAATGTCAACAAATATATATTGTCTCCCCATCAGCATATTGTTTGGTTGTTCTGTGATATGGGCAGCCTTGAAGGTGGCATTAAAACAATAATTGGAACAAAACCCGATTTAGTATTTTTATCAAACATTGTACAGTATTCAGTGGCAAGCTAGCCATGGCAACTGGCCATATGCATGCATGCTATACAGGTAAACCTGCATCTATTTGAATAATGCAAATCATTAAAAACTTGCATAGCGTGACCTGTTGCTATGGCTAGTTTCACCAATGACAGTATTATTATAATAATTATACAAAAGCAAGAAGTTATAAGCAATGAAGATATTCATATAAAACCGTCCATGCCAAGAAAGTAGAATTAGATCTTTCAGTCAACCTTCGACTTTGTGCAAGATGTTTGATATTCAAATTGTACTTTCCCTACCTCCTGAACAGGCATCTTAGGGGCTGTTTGCATGATGAAAGAAAGGATGATTTTGATGTATTAAAATATTAGTCACAGGCTAAACAAAAGTTCAAACGCTGATTAGCAGAAGTCGAATGTTGTAGAGAAGGTCTTGTGGTTCAAGAAGTTTAATATATTAATATTAGGTTATATTAGAACATTTAAGGGGCTTTGGTGGCCAAGTGGGTAGCGCACTTGCCTTTCACCTCTGAGGCCGCAGGTTCAAGCCTCAGTGCAGAGAACTTTCTCAATGCGACTTGAACCCAGTCCCCATGTGAAAAGAGTAAAAGTCAACGCTGTGCCGAAATTCGTGGGTTTTCCCTGGGTACTCCGGTTTCCTCCCACAGGGAAAGTCGACAGGGTGGCTTAGGTAAAAAGGGCCCACAGTAATTGGCATATGCTGTTGTGGTGACCCTGTCCTAATTGGCAAAGCTAAATAAAAATAAATTATGCTTGAACAGGCAACCTTTCGTTTACAGTTAACTATAATCCATCTCTAGAAAAAGTTTTTGCTGAATCATGCACCGTGAGTTATTTAAGTACATCAAAATCATCCTGCCTCATATCTCATCCCTGCAAAGCGGGATTATATATAAACAGTCCCTTATTCAGCAAATTGTGCATGCTGCCTCTAATCCCTTGGGTGTGAGGGAGCATTTTCTCAGCATTGTTCGCTGAGTGTCAAACACAATAATTTTATCTTGATTTTCTTAACTTCGATACAGCACAAAATTAAACGCAACAGATTTAATATATTTCAAGTTTTTCAAACCTTTGTATGCCCGAAGGAATCTTGATTCTTGAGGAAGTCTCTGAATTTAAAATTATTGTGTTGTTATTTTAAATGCATGCTAATTATCAATTAACCATTGAAATATCTTCATTTGTCATATATTATTCAGATAAAGCACTGTCCAATCGGAGGCCCACGTGACCAGAACAAGAAATCTTCATCCAACTCACAGACGTTCTCTCGCGCGCTTCGTCGAGAGTAACGTCTGTACACGGGCTAAAATATTTTCGCTGATTACGAAAACGATTTGCCGATAAAACAGTCATTTCGTCGAAGATATTTTCAGGGGGTGTTACACCCCACACACACCCCTGTAGGTGTTACAGCCCTGGAGGTGTTATATAATAAATTATATTGTATATGATTCTATATATCTATTGGACCACTTGTTTATCAGCTGACATACTGTTTGGTTCTCCACTCCCCCGCCCCAGCGAAATATATTTGATTTGATTTAATTTGGTATAAACAACGGAAATATTACATGTTAAATCTAAACACTTACCCTTTGCGAAATGAATGTATTTTAACGACTTTTTCAGCAGCAGTTAAAAGGACGTTGATCAATCTGAAAAATAAAAATTCAATTAAAAATTTTGCTTATATATGAGATATTGAATTCAGTTAATGACAGTCTATTTATGCGGGCTTTATTTTTATTTAAACTATTTTCGCAAAAAGAGTTTCTCAAATAAAAGAGGGACTAGGATATCTTTCCCAGAATATATTTAACTCTTATACCAATGAGACAACATTCGGATTGATTGAACAAACAATTAACGATCGAAACTATGTAACTCGTCTCTAATACCAGTGGGACAACATTCGGATTGATCGGTTTGCAGGTAAAACAACAGAGACAGTTCGTAATAATGGTTGGAAACCTCTCAAATTAAGCAAAATTTCTTCCACTCGTGCGGGCTTGTATTGAGAACGGACATCTTACATAGTTCATGCAAAATGCAAATCTTTCAATTTTTTACCGCAAGTCCCCTAAAAATACGAGCCTGCGATCCTGGGCGAATATGACTAGCGAGCCTGCGATCCTTGCTGAATATGACTAGCGTGAAAACTAAATTTTGCATTATTAGTTCGCGTTCACTTTTAGTTTCCACGTTTGCTTGAAACAAGCAAACTTATTCTTGTCAGTACAGTAAGAATATTATTCTAACCATGAATCTTGGTGAGAATATTATTCTTTCCTAGAATTAATTCTTGGTAAGAAAGAAATTGCTTAAAGCAAAAAGTTGCCCATAATAAGCAAAATTATTCTTTTCAGTATAGCAGGAATTTTTGTCTAGACAAAAATTTTTCAAGAACTTTACTTGAAATAAGCAAAAATATTCTTTGGGTATAAGAATTAGAAAATTCTTAAGAATAAGAAAATTCTTATTCTAAGCAAAAATGACCTGACTTTACAAGTCATGCAGCTTTCAAATGAGATGTGTACTCCCCTACACCACCGATCGCTACGTCCCTGATTAAGAACGACTTGTTACGCTGAATAATTGGCGTCGCGTAAAGAGTTAGCGAAACTAACACTAAGCATAATGTTTTAGGCTCTTAGGAAAAACGAAAAATAGTATCCAACTTTTGAATACAATCAGCGGCGAAGCTGGACATAGCAACAGGTCATGCTATGCAAATTTTGAATGATATTTGCATTGTTCAACCTTTAGAAATGTATTGTCTTTGATCTATTTAGATGTAGGTCTATTGGCATAGCACGATGGGTTGCCAGTTGCCATTGGATACAATGCTACAATCAGTGACTATGACAGGTGGGAGACTTAGTGTAGATTGGGAATGTTTATTTTTGTAAACATTTACAAAGATAACATGAAAAACTCGCCTCCCCATTTCAATATTGTTGTGTGTTCTGGGAGAGTATATCAGCAATACAACATAAATTAAACTCCTTCAAATAAAATGCTGCACGGTCCTGCAGACAGAAATTATCGAGTGGAAATTTATATACCGGTACATTTAGTAGACCTGACCAAGAACAGCTCGTTTGCTCGGAGTCGTATGTTGACGATACCAAGTCGTTTATGTCTGTGAATTGGAATGATTTGGACAATGGTCTGAAAGAACTAAAGTGGGATTTGGACAGCGTAGCTGGATGGTGTTGCTGGAATAAATTATTGATAAATCCGAAAAAGACAAATTTATTGTATAACGAATCTGCCAGATAATCTATCCATCCAGTTTCTGGGAGAGATTCTTATACCATCCAAGTCAGTATAGGATCTTGGTGTAACCTTGGATCGAGAACTCACCTTTGACGAGCACATAAATAATGTGGTAAAATGTTGCAATTATTCATTATGTCAGATTTCCAGAGTTAGGCATTTGTTCAACAAAGAACAAATTGAAGCTATTCTCAACTCACTAGTCTTCAGCAAATTATACTTTAGTTCCACTGTTTGGTCAAACACAACCAAGAGAAATGTTGCTAAATTACAGCAAGTACAGAATTTTGCTGCTAGAATTGTGGAAAATAACAAGAAATTTGAACACATAACTCCAACGTTGAAAGCTCTGAAATGGATTCCAGTATCTGATAAGTTGGTAATTAAATGACGCGATCATGACTTATAAATGTATGAACGGTCAAGCACCGTCCTATCTGTGTTTCAAGATTATTAACATGTGTGAACAAACACACCGATACAATACCAGATTTCAAACATCTGGCAAGATAAAACAACAACTCTGCAGAACAAGCACAGGACAGCGATCCTTTTTAGTCAGAGCTATTAATCTGTGGAACTATAGTATTGGAAATAACATCAAAAAGGAAAACCTGTCAATTTTTAAAAAACAATTTAAGACAATTTTATTGAACAAATTTCTTGACTCCTGATTTTAAATATAGTAGAACTTATTTAGCATTTTAATATATTATATAGCATGTTCACAAACTGGAATAATTTTGTAAAAATAGTAACCATAATGATTAAGTAATGATTCAAACTTGTAATAGTTCACTGAAAAGCCCTTTTGGGGAGTGGCTAATAAATACAGCCCTTTTGGGGAGTGGCTAATAAATACTACTACTACAACAACAATTGATTACCAATGATGGAATCGAGTGTTTTATCCTTCTTCGAGAATGGTTACCATCGCCGCAGGAGGGTTCATAGTACAGCCTGCCAGATTACAACCACCAATCGTCAGAGCTCATTTTTACTGACTTTGTTTATCCAAAGCTCTTCTTCCACGTCAAATAATGATCTAGTATGGAAACCTGTATAACTACCACGAGGGCGACAACCACGGCAGCTCATGCATGCATGCACGTTTTTTTCACGTCTCTTCAACTAAATGAATATTTTTTTTATATTAACTTTTGTCGTATAGAAAAAACACAACGTAGATTTAGACAATTCTTGTAAGGATATACAACTTATCAAACGACATTTTTGTATAACCAACGAGCATGCGGTCTGTCCAGAGGCGTTATAGGGTTAGGATTTTTCTCTCAAATCGAGGAAATAAATGTGTATGATTTTGTACACTACACGCCTAAAAACGCTCAGGTTAAAAAATGTTGAACAATATTATTACACCCGATTCAGGCTCAACAGTACTGTTCAATATTCTTGACAAGTGAGAACAACGTGGGCAGCAAAACATTGTTCAATCCTGTTGAGCTGCGCGCTCGCCGTTTTTTGCCGTGTACTGCGATTTCATGCAGGTTTGATTATACTATGACCAATTGTTTCAAAGTTTTGAATTGATGTTTCGAATTTAGCGAATTTTCTCCACCTCGTGCGGGATCGTATTGTCAGCGGACATCTTACACAAAATTGCCAGATCTGGGGAAATACTTCATGTAAGACCTACAAAACAGTTTGACCAAATTATAAGGTATGTCAGTGTATCGTAAAAGTTAGTGAAAACATTGACCCTAACCTAACCCTAGTTTTAACACAATGTGACTGTTTAAAATGCAAAGCTTTCAATTTTCACTGCAATTCTGCTCGAAATACGAGCCTGCTGTACTGAGAACAAATTTGCTGAATATGACCAGTGTGAATTACAAAGTTTGTTACAGATTATTCAATTACAATACTATTATATAATTCGAATAAATTGATCCATTATTGTTCATAGGTTTTATGACTCAATTATCAGGGCGCGATAATTCACGTACTTACGTATCGGACGTACCCCAGTATCACGGTCTGGAACTTTTTAAGGTTACTGAATCTGGTTACTGGTACTTTTTAAGGTTACAAAATATTGAGTTTCCCGTCTGGGGTCACTTGTTGCTCCCAACCCCCAGATTCACAATTTGAGCCTTTACTGCATGCCTGATTGAAATTGACCGGATTGCAATGAGTTAAACATGGTACATAACATGTGTGTTCACGTTTTTGTTCATGGTTTTTCTTGTATTGTGAAACGAATTCCATGCTGTGTGTTTGTTACCTATGAGAAAAATTATTTCCATGTCGCAAATTGAACCCAAACGACTTCAACTTTATTGCACTTAAACATTTGATGAGATGATTGAGTAAACTCAATTAAGATTGAGTTTTTGGGTCAGTTAAACTGGCCACCAGTCAGGTACGACTAAGTCTTGAATTATCGTACCCTGATTATGTGCAAAAATTGAAAAAAGCCGAATTAAGAATCATATTTTACATATTGTATCCTACATACAGTGGCAGTGTGGCGTTTTTTTAGCAAACAATCAGGATTTAAAATAACTAGTGCTTTCTTCAGCGTCAAAAGTAGAAATTGTACTTCCTTGCGTGAAACATATGTCGAAAGCAGAGAACAGTATCGCAATTTTAACTTTAAGTAAATTCTGGGCTCTAAATCGCGAAAATATTATGGTACAAAAAGGTTTATAACAGACCTAGAAAAAGTGTTTTATGTTCCTCGGATCCTGAATTTGCCTTTTTCAACAGTGGGCAAAACAATGGAAAATTTGACCGCATACATTACGGCATTATGTGTATTTGTCTTGACAGTATTTATTTTACATATCTCAAATGACATGCAGATAAGGAAGACTAACGCCCGTATTCTAAAAGCTCATTCATACTCAAAGAGTAGAGGTTCAATCTGAGCTTCTTTTGAGCGTCAATGTTGTTTTTGAATAGCTGGATTAACGCTAGTGTCATTCTAAACTATGTGACTGCTCACCCTCCACCTATTCAAAAACAGCATTGACACTTAAGAGAAGCTCAGATTGAACCTCTACTCATTGAGTGTGTTCTTCGTGCGCTTTTAGAATACGGGCGTAACTCTTCTAGAGGGATACTCCGTATGTGTGAAAAACTGAAAAAATTATGTTCGTCAATCTTCTTGCTAAGACAAATCTTCCTCAGGATCCCGAAACCAACTTTCTCCAGGCCTGGATTTAGAAAATCGATAATCAATTAAAATCAATCTGTGAATCGTTAACAATCAGGCAGCGAGAGGCAAGGCACCTTATTCAAGAATTAATTCTTATTGATTGATATTAGATATATTTAGTATCTTGTATGCTATTTTGAAGTAGCATTTAACGGATCGTCAAATATGCTTGGTGAATCTTCGTCAAAAATTGATGTTTTACTTTTTCCTTTCTTTTTTCCTTTTGTTTTTTTCGTTGTCTTTGATGTCGATGCATCCTCACTTGCCACTGTCACTGAATCTGAAAACAAAAACACAACGATTACGAGATATTCAACAATCCTGTACCGTTCGCAGCTCGATTAACTATTTCAGGGGTGCATGTAGTGGAAGTGGGGCTCAGGGGCTTTAGCTCCTTGTTAACAATTCCTGGGCTTACGATTTTTATCAAAACAGAAATAATCTTTGATAATATAGAAACTTTTTGCAATTTAATACCAGCAATGCTAACATTTTATAACATCCCCTAAATTGCTGGAAATCGAAAATTTTCTGGCGGTTCATGCCCCTTGCCCTCCCAATGTTACCATTTTAGGACTACAACATTGACTATTTCCGCTAACATCAACATGAAATCGGTCATTTGGGATATAGATATTGGTGTAAGGTTTAAAGGGATATGGCAATAAAATATTAGTTTGTCTCATTTGAAAGATTTTTTAAAATTATAGGAAAAACTTTTTTACAGCTTCTTCAAATGTTGTTTAGTTCTCGAAATACTTAGTTCTTATCATAAATCAGTGAGCTGTCTGCCATCTTGGATTATGTCACAAACAGGGACACGCACACATTTTACTCAGATATGCAATGGTCATTATAAGCACATATAATATAATTTAATACCAGATTAACTGACAACATTGCAAGCATCTACCGCTTGTTATTACGTCATCTAGGAGTATATGGCTAACCCTGCTTGTGACGTCATCAAAACCACCGTTAATGACATAAAAAACCTAATCAGATCAAATCACATTTATTTCCATAGGGTAACCTCTTCAGTGATGTATCAGTATTTCAATGGCGGACAGCTTAAGATACTTCTTCAAACATTAAGCAAGATATGAAAAATCGGTAAAGGAAATTTAAGTAAATGTTAATGCAAAGCAGGTGCTAATAACCTCACTTTATAAACTACTGGTTGACCAACGTCTTCTGAATGCACAACAACGTTTAATGAAACCCATCTACAGCCAATTCAAAAAAGGTTGTCCTTTGCAAACCTTAAACTCTAAACCTTAAACTATAAGCTTGCAAAGCATAATGGGAACATCATTTAATCACTTTAGAAATAATTCTTCGAGGCATGGTAAATATCTCCTTACGAGAACAATTCATTCACAAATTAATAGCTGCAATATTCAACTACTCAGCTTAAAACTTGTGCTCTCCTTAAGAGGGCCTCTCAGTAAAATCCACCCACTGGTTTGGGGAAGGAAAAATAGATTTAGCTCATATCTTGCATATGAGCTAGACTTTGGTCAATATTAATCGAGCTTCTTTCAGAACGTTTCAACTTTCTGTTTTATAAGAGTTATAGCCATGTTGAAATTTGACCTTGCGAGAATATTTTCAGACCGGAAATGAAGGGAAATTTTACAAGAATTCATCTGATTTTTTAAAAACGTTGTGATGCGTTTATCCTCTCCAGTTACTGTTCATATGCAAGATTAACACTAATACTCTCGTTTACATAGAGATTGAATAACTTTATTCGCTTAATACGATTTTTTTATAGTTCTACGAAACTATGTTTTCAAGATGGCGACGAGAGGCTGAAAATTGTTCATATTTTACTTAAAATAGCTCAAAAGTGGCACCTATCTGAGGTTCAAAAGGCATATAATTTGAAAGTATACCTACTAAAGTTAAGTAATCAGGAATAAAACTCGTCTGCAAGCAATTTTCTGAAAAGTTATGAATCTCCGAATTGGGTCTATTTTTAGCTGTTTGTTTACATTCGCGTGTTCGCTGATCAGCGACACTAGTAATAATTAAAAAGTTAAATAAGCTGGTTTATTATCCAGCTTCTAATTCACAACATAAAAACATTAAAAATACAACCTTAACCATTCCGATCTTGGCTTATTCGCATAAATAATTTCACAACTGTTAAATATCTTTTTAAGGTATAATCGGGCAGTACTTTCTGTGGTTGTAGCAAATTTCAAAGCTGTCAGTATCTCTGGCTGTACATAAAAAGTGTTCGGTGCTTTAACTTTTTTATTCAACTTGTCTTGTAATCTTTTTCTGTCCCTGTAAATGGAAATTTTGCCGGAAAGGTCGGATCGGACATTAATTCTTGCAGCATGGATGCAACATATTTTTGTACATAATTGCAGTCAAAATACAACAACCTTCCCACTTCCGCTTTTGTAGTCTGTTGGCATTTACTATTTTGTTTTGACTTTTGCATTATTGTAGC